TGTGTGTGTGTGTGTGTGTGTGTGGGGGTGGCGGGTGGGGGGGGGGATATGAATGATCCCAAAACCTCTTTCTCTGTTCCCACCCCAACTACTTCTCTGGCTCATGTTATAGGCGAGAGCTGCCCTCTCCCTTTAGGATCCTCCATTATTGCTCACAATGGAGTTGGTATTCCAATACCCCAAGGACCGACAATCACTCTGTCCACAGAGGACACCTCGATTACCCATGAGCCCTCCCATTACGGTTCCTCTTCATCTCTTGGAGCCCACCTGCCTTCCCCACTGGGCCTCACCTCGGCAATCCCGACAGTACCATTCCCGGATGGCTTTGGCCATCTTCTCAGTGATCCTGATGCAGTCCCCATGGAACCACTCATTGCAGTTGTCACATCCACTGCATATAATGGAGCAAGTGGTAGAGACGTGAGGGGTGGGCTTCATCGGTGCTCCCCAACCCCGCCAGGCATCAGCCCACCCACCTCTCCCCAGCTCACATCATGAAGCAGTTGATGTCTGGTTTTCGGCAGATGCAGTAGATGGGAGCATTCTCCCCATTCTCAGACTTGCTGTCCTCTCCAGCATCTGGAGGCTCCAAGTCTGAACCGTCTCCATCCTGTGAGACCCACCCCCAATGATGACTCCTTAATTCCCGCTTACAGCTCGACCACGGCTCATCACAAGTTCCTACTGTGTCTTTGGACTTCCTCCCTCTCATAGATTCCCATCAACCTCTCCCTCACAGATCGCCCAGACCCTCATCACTCAACCCTGTGCCTCATTACTTTGCTTATACTGCTCTCCCATCACACACATCACTGACAAGCATCCTGTCACTCTTAACTGCTCATCACAAACACTTACCACATTGCCGCCTTCAAGAGTTCTACCCGGATATCTCTTAATTTGTTGGGCTGTCGTCCCATCCCGGCTTCCCACAAGTCTCTATAACTTAGCTCACAGACCCCCAACCCCAATGACGGTTTTTCAGAGCCCCTGTAAATACTCATGGCCAAGACCTTATCTCTCTGACCAAGGATCCTCACGTGAAGGCTTCCCACAAAACTGCCACCTGCAGTCTCTACTTAAGA